CCTGCCGGCCCCTCGACCGGCGCACTCTAGGGCTCCGCAGCCCGCTTGTGGGACCTCGGCGACTTAGCGGGCGGCTGCTTGAAGAGGGATGGTTGCCATCTCCAGGGCATAGCGTGCATGCCCAGAGAGGGCTCTGAGTGCCACCTCTGGCACGCGTGCCATAGGTTCGCTACCACTGCACTGCAGGAATGAATAGCAAATTTATAATCTCAGCAAAAAAATAAGTAATATGAAAGATGACAAAAATAATTCCCTGTGGTATTTCTCACTTGCACAATGACCAGGCTCAAATTGTATTTTGGACCTAAAACTGGTACTGGTGCTCAAAAAGTTGGAAGGAAAAAAGAGGACAACTAATGGCAAGGCATATGTGGACTCAATTAAATGGCGAGTAATTCATTGGAAGACCTGAAGGATCAAGTTAGGGATACTGTGTGGAGAAAATCTACATGCTCATTAACAATCAACAACAACAATCAACAACAATGGATATAATTCATCAAAAATCAATGCTACTATATTATTGGAAGTAATTTTCCTACAAAGGCCAGCTAAAATATTTTAAGCAATTTGAAAATATACATTTCCCTCCCACAAACATGTGTTCATTATTTTGTATTCTTTCCCATGCTTAAATGATGCAGCAAGCTTTTACATAGATTGCCATGTTTTTCTCATTCAAGTTGAAGGCTTTGTAAAAAAAAAATATTGCTTCAGATTAAAAACACTTTATTATTCAAATTTTCAAAAATGTCATTAAGCCACATTATATGGAATAATACATATGCAAATAAACATATAGTCCTCCACCAAATGAAATCAGCCCATTCTGAAAAAAGCCTCATTGTATGCAAGCACTCCTGAAAACTATTTTCAGTCTCCATTGGGACTAAATCAATCAAGATAATTAAATTAGTATATGGCCCATCAAAAGCAGAATTAGCATCCTCATTAAAAACAATTATGTTATTTACAAACAACATCTTATCTGCGGTATTGCTTCTCTGCATTTAAATAGCACAGAGTAAGAGTCTTTGGCTTCTAGAGAAAAGAAATAATTAAGGATTTTTAAAATAGCACAAGCAGAGAGCAGTTGTGTCATTCATGCATACTGATGTCATACGTAACTTGATAGTCACGCACCTCACACTACTGTATTAGCCCTGCATGTTTAGTTGGGTAAAAGGAATATATTCTGAAATTTTGAAATGCTAGAAAAGCAACAGAAGCAATTTCATCTTGAAAAGAGAACTGGGAATATTGTTCGATACTACATTTTTCATGTGAAAAAAAAATCATCTGAATCTGGAATGAATTATGTAATACTTCACATAGTCAATTCATATTGCTTCATGGAAGATGGTCACATCTCTGAACAATGGGATCTAAAATATAATGAAATAAAAACTGAGTACATGTATTTGGGCTCACATGTAGCAAATTATCAGTCTTATCTTCACAACTACTATCTCCTTCATAAGAGTTCAGAAATTTTCTTCAAAAACAATGAGATGATTGATCCCTGTTAAAAACTCAGCCAAAGGAGAAATTCAGAAAAGCATATGCTACTATAATTCATGACTTTTTAAAATATTTGGATAATATATACCTCTGCCTAGATTATCAAAGCAAATTTAGATCCTTAACAAGTACAACGATCAGTGGATTCATACATTGTGCTCAGGGAGAAGATATTGTTATTTTAACTAACAGCCTGCAAATAGAATCTGTGTTTGGACAGATCATCATTTGTAGAATTAAGGCTACCCATTAAGCAATCTACAAATAGAATAAACTGGAAACAATTAGGCTTGATATTTCTGTTTGGATATGGTCAACACTTTAACAGATTTTTGGAGTGGGCAGCCATAATAAAATTAAGTAATAATAATACGTAACATTTTTCTTTACATGCTTTTTACTGCCTCTGGTACTCACACATATTTCTGAATCACAGAATAATGTAAAGAAGTCCAGCTGGTAAGAATCTTTATACCATCATAGTTAAACTAATCTGATTGGTTGAAGCACTGTAACAAACAGTTATTTGCACCAATCAAAGAGTTAGTAATATTATACTCAGCAAGTAGCCTCTTTTATATCTCAGCAATTAAAATTATTGCCTACCTGATTGTACATATATTTTAACAATCACACTGAATTTCTAGCTTTTACAATTAAAAGCATCACTTCCTGTTATTTCCACTATCATTAATCTCAATCAATCCATTTTATTTCTCATTTCAGTATTTTCTAAATAAAATAAGAACAGGCAAAAATACTGAAATAATGTAATATTGAGAGAAGATGTGCATTTTTGCAGTACTGCATTTTTCATAGACCTCATTTCAACAGTATGTTCATAGAAAGATCTGCTAATTGCACTTACAAACTTTTATTGTCACCATTTAGACATTTGGTTGATGAATAAAAACTATGATATTTGATCTAATCTTTTATTTCCTGTATCTCGTGAAAACTTCATAACATTTAATATCACCAAAATATTAAAATATGACATAGTACGGTATAATTCTCAACTAGCCTGTACACCTGATTGCCAATTGTCAGACATAACTGTTTTTGAAGTATAGAAAGTTGATAGTGTCCAGATCACAGATGCTATAGTCCCATGTTTTTGTGCTATATGTTTTGGCTTTGGTTTTCTATTTTCAATTAATTCATTTGGATCCAAATAAATTTGGATTTGGATTCTAAAATGCAAAACAGACTTTCCTTTAATGTCTAATTTTCCCTATAGTATAAATACAGTATTAAGTAACATAAACTACAAGAAATCAGTAATGTAGAACTAAATATATCTGACAAATTATTTATTTACTTCTAATTTTTTAAAAAAAATTATAAGCCAGGTTTCTAAGTAAACTTTTTCAAACTTGTAAGAATATTAAAATCAAAGTAATAGATGTAAATGATTTTAAGAAATCAAATAAAAATATATCAGATGTATTATATGCAAAAATAATTCCTAACTCAATTAAAAGACAGGGTGAATAGATAAATTTTCAGAGTCCATCTAATAATAAAGGGGCCTGGTAAAGGTCAACTAAATAAAATTCTGCAAGTACATGGGTCAGTTTGCCTTTGGGAGGCTTGCATAATGCAGAGAATTATAATGAATGAACATAATAAAAACATATTTTTCACTTTAGAATGAGATAATATCCAGAATGACATAAGGAAGCATTTGTACCAAACCATTTCATGATATAGAAAATCACCATGACATTGATCCAAAGGATAAAAATAGATAAAATATATTCTACTGCAGTAGTTTTCAACTTTTTGTATAAGTGCCACAAGTCACTCTGTCAAAGATATTGAGTTCTGCCATGACAGAAGCAAAAGCCCACTTTTTCCAATATTTACCAATATATGTTTACAGGCATTCTATGATTATTTTTATCATTTATAGTAAATTTAAAGGTTTGATTAACCTTTTCATAATTTACTATGGTTTTCATCTGGACTACTTTTGCCCCAGCTAGGACACATGAATGATCACTGAAGTACTGTACCACTACTTTAATAAATTGACAAGGAAAACATTATTTAAATATATTATAGCAAATAAATTTACAGTGAACCAGTCAAATTCTACAACTCATTTTTAAGATTGATTCTTTTGTAAGCCAAATGTAACTTAATACATTTAACTGTAAAATGAATTCAAATGTTTTAGCATAAGGGGGCTCTGGTTATTAATGAAAATATGAGAACATGGGGGTAGTTAACAATTGCATCTTTAAGAGGTATAATAATTCTTCTCCTCTAGAACGGCTGACACGTTTCAAGCAACACATTCTGTTCCTAAAAAATACAGAACAGTACAGTAATTCATACCAAAAGAATTGCCAAATAATTGTTATTTATCCTAAAAGCTATGCAGAAAAGTACAGCTTGTTCTCAACTAACTGTTCCACTATCGGTATAAACGTAGGGCTGACAGTGAAAACAAAGCTTTTTATCATCAGTGCAATATTCCACACAATGTTATCTTGGATGGTAATTTAATAAGACAAATTGCTTGCCCGTTCTGCCAACTGAGATACTGATGTGTGAATTGGGCAGGACATACATACTGGGTATCAGTCCAAATGCTACAACTACACTACCTCCTGAGGAGTATCAATTCAGTCCCATAACAGGGATGCAGTTTTATGTCTACGGGATTTCAAGGTGAAGTCCTACACCCAAGTTGGCCCTACTTTCTGGAACAAGGACGCGCATCTCTGCCTGGCAGCTAAGCACACCAAGAGTGTGGAGCAATATTTCATTTATTCCTTTTTATTTCATTTATTCCTTTTTTAAAGCCAAATTCTCTCTTGTCTTCAAACTCATCTCCGGAGCTTCCGAAAAGAAAGCAGAGACTGTTAGAAGGAAGCCTGCTGACTGGCGCGGGCTGTCATTCCTCAAATCAAGCCCTGCTCCCCAATCCCAGATTTAAAGAGGATTGTGGAGAAAAGCTCTAAATATAGCCCCGAGCGGCTTCTAGTGCTTTACACAGCGTCAACGGCTCCCCTCCCTTCTCTTCCTTCCTTCCTTCCTTCCTCCCACCCGGGCTGGCTGCAATCCGCCCCGCTGGGCAGATTGCCGTCGCCTCCAACCGCGTAACTACGCGCCTCTCCCCTCCACAACTCTCACTTCGCCCCGCTCCTTTCTCCGGATGCCCCGAGCCTGATGGCGGCGTGCGTTAACGAACTCTTTCGGACACGAGAACCAACCGGGCACACTCGGGGGGGGGGGGAGTCTGGTCGAAAACGGGGCAAGCGCGAGAGCGAAGCCCAGAAGCCGGGGCGTCGAGTCCTCCTCCCCAAACCCAGGGTCGCTCGCTCTCTCGCTCTCACGTTTGCCCCACCACCTTGCCCCGACGCCGGTCAGGCAGGCAGGCACCGAGCCGGGACAAACTGCCTTTCCCCCCCCCCCCACCCCTAGCGACGCCGTGCCACGCGCAAGTTGGCCCGCTTCCCTCGCCTTACCTATTCGGTAGTCCCCGTTCTGCCCGAGGTCGGAGAGAAGCCTCCCCCACATGGTGCTGGTACCGCCTCCGCTGCCGCGGGGAAAAGTGAGGGGCGACGGCAAGGCGGAGCGGCGCCCCCTCGGCGCGACGCCGGAGGACGCGGCCTGGACGAGGGAGAGAGAAAGAAGGAGGCTGGTCACTGCTGGGCGTTTGCTCCTCCTGCGGCCGCGGCTGCCTTTCGCGCTTCGCAGCCCGCCTTCGGCCTGGGGCAAGTAGCGGCCATGGTGGCTTGCTCAGAGGCCGGGCGCAGCAGCAGCAGCAGCAGCAGCAGCAGCAGCGAGGACAAAACTCCCTTTCTTTCGCTGCGGCTGCCCTCGCTGCGGCGCCGCTTCTCTGCTCTTCTCTTTCCTCCGCCTCCCTCTGCTTGGTGCCGGGCGGAGATAGAGGCGGGAACTCAGCAGATGCTGCTGCTCCTCTGAAGAGGAAGGAGAGGGAGCTGAGACAGCGGGATGCGCGGTGATGGGGGGTGGCGTGGCAGGAGAATCACGCCGCCTCTGTCCGCGGGCGGCGTGGGGGGGGTGGGTAACTGAAGAATCGGGGAAAGAAAAGGAGAGGCGCCGTTGCAAAGTATTAGGGCCGATTGGCAATCCTGCATCGGAGAGGAATACGGACCGAAAGCGCCCTTGACCGCTTGCAGAGTGGCCAAAGCCATTTAAACAGTTCCAACATTGGAGAGAGGAAATACTGAAATATGCGCTTTAGGTCCGTCTTCCTCTAGTCTAAACAATGCCTGAGAGAGATTTTCGGCAATAACTTTCCACCACACGAACAGTGTTGTCAATAATGGATTGCTATTGAAAGAAGAAACCTGTGGGATGCTTTCTGCGTAATAAGGGAGCTTTGTGAAAAGTTAAATCATTTTTTAGTTTGGCGGGTTTAATCACGTTAAAATAATCGCCCCAAAAAGTTGATGGCGAATATGCTACAGTATTTCATTCAGGAGGACCGTTGAATTCCTCCAAGTACCATATCTCTCCGTTTTATGCCATTAAAGGATGTGGCTCCAGATAGAATCAATGATGTTGAAATTAGAGTGGAAAAATGATAAAAACTGGGCCACCAATGGCTCCCCACTTAGAAAAGTTTCCACACAAGATTTATGTAGTAACATCTGCCAGAACGACAAGAAAAAAAAGCAGAACTAACATGCGCAGTTTCCTCTTGGGTTTATTTTTATCTTACAACTATACACCTCAGCGAGCCTATGTTCATACCATAATACAGTATATATCAGTCTCAAAAAGCATGATGTGTATATGTCCTAATTTTAGTGGAACCTGCCCAGAGACAAGTGTGATCTGCTATTTGTCTATAAAATACATACAGACAGATATGTTTCCCTTCTCAAAAAGTTTGGCAAACTTCTTAATCATTTGCATTTTTCATATACAGTATTAGAGTAACCCTTCGCCCCTCAAACAAAATCTTGATTAAAAACATATTTACAATATTCAGCTTTGCACTTTAACCCCTCTACCATCTCTACCAATCTGTTGGATATGTTTTCCTGCGAAAACCTATTTGTTGTAGATCAGTGTTTTTAAACTTTTTGTTCTTGGAAAACCTTCCCATTTTTAAAAATTATAGAGCTTTTGTTTGTTTGTTTCAGTTATACTTTACATGAATTATGTAAAAATAACATTAATATAAGTAAAATATTTTTCATGAAAGCTATTTTTTAACAAGTACTCATAATGAGAAGATTGACAAATTCTACTGGGAAACCACTTCAGTTTCTTGCGAGAAACTGAAAAGAAATGAAAAGATGATTTGAGGATTCACATTGTACGGAGTTATCAAGAAGTTGCAGAGATATGGTAACCTTAGAAAGTCATTTATTTTCTACTTTACTTACTTTTTTCTTCTTTTTTCCTTTTTTTCCTTTTATTGTTTTCTGAGGCTTTTTCTTTTTTTCTTTTTTTCTAATTTTCTATTTCTATTTATCTTTTAATTTTGTATTTTTTCATATATTTTGTGTGTGTGTGTTGTTTATGAGTTTTTGCAAATTTTTAAATATCTGATCAATGTGATTTTTGCAGCCCCTGAGAGGGTCTCGAGGGTCCCCACAGTCCTCAACCCACATTTTAATAAAAACTGCTGTAGACTGCTCTCTTAACATAAATATTAAGTGTAAAATGTTTTTTAAAATAGGCAGAACTCCCTGGAGACTAATGTTAGCTCTAAACGCCATGCTTCCCAAGCTTGACGAGATTTGCTTACACTGCCTTCAGTGCGCACCACTCTTTCACTGTTCAAATACTTGGAAAAATATTTTCAGAAAATAAACTGTTTGGAAAACTGTTGTTCTTCTATTCTGAGAATATCTTAACCGAAAATGTAGTTTAAATTAATGAGGAAGGATTTGGTTTTTCTGAATCTGCAGCTCTTATCATCAAGCTTACCTACAGTCACATATTAAATACCGGAAGTGAATAGTTGGTGCAAATTTTCCAGTTTCAGTTTGAAATATACATATAGAAGTAACCATTTGTTTAGTGAATGTTCAGAGTTGCAATGGCACTGAAAAAAGTGACTTACAACCAGTCTTTGCATTTACAGCATCCCCACAGTCACTTGATCAAAATTCAGATGCTTGGCAACCGGCATACTGTTTGCAGTGTCCCAGGGTCACGTGATCACCATTTGCAACTTTCGTAGCCAGTGTCAGAATCCAGTTATATTTCCTTTCTATCTTCTCTGAATAAAACCAATTCTTACTCTCTCCTGGATCCTTACTCCTAAGAGGGAGGAGGGTATGCATGGGGGTTTTATTACTTTCACTTCCTCTATTCACTACAAAGTAACCTTTTGTTGATTCACTTTCGGGTCTGCTAACCATCACAATGTAACCATTTGCCTTTCATCCTATGCCCCTCTAAACTTCTCCTCCTTACCGTGCAGCCTCCGGGATCTGTGTAAGGAACTGTTGAATGATCGTGCCCAATGGAGCCGGATTGATGTTATCTTTCCTGGATTTAACATCTAGAAACCTGCCGGTCTAAATCGCCCGGAAGAACTGCAGGGTGGGGGTTGCTTAGGGACACTTTAAAACATCGATTTGTAAGGAAATCCTTCAGATCCTGTCTATCATGCCTGCTATCAATTTCTCTTAATAAAAGTTCCTGTTGGAACAGACCATTTCTAGGAGTTCTGCTTTCTTAAGATGTGGATTGAAGTGGTTCCTTACAGCCAGCTTCCAACAGGTAAACAAAGTCAAGGGAAGAACCCAGATTTACTTAAAAACTTAACATAGTGGTGGTGATTCACTTAACGACTATAGCAAAAGTTGTAAAATTGGGCATGACTCACTTAACCAAACTGCGTAGCGATGTAAGTTACGGTCCCAGTTGTGATTGTAAGTTAAGGACTAACTGTACAGCATCTATGGCTGGATGGACAGAATTTGGATCTAAATACAATTGAACTCTTGTATATCTGGAAACAATTATATCAGAAAAAGGCAACGCTAACAGGGTCAGGTAGAGCTAAATAGTTGGATCAGAAACCTGACACTATCAGATACAGTACCAGAAGATAATTTTTAACTAATATGTAAGTTTAAATATTGATCTAGAGTGATTTAGCAGGAATCTTGTCATTCTCATTTTAAATAAACATGTCAGATCACACTCCAATTATTTTCAGGGATGTGGAAATGGATAGGTTTCATAATTCACTAGGTGAAAATGTCTAACTTCTCATTTGTTAATAGCATGAAAGAAATTCTGCGAAGTCTTTAGCTTAGTCAGCAATGTTCGAATTGTGAAATAACATTTGGAGGAGTAATCATATGGCTGACATCTCAATCTTTCTCATTTGCTTTTTCATATCTACTAAATCATACTTTATATACTCCACATATTACACTTGAAGGATATATTACATTTTACTTTTGTTCAGTTTCATATGTTAGGTGTGTAGGAAACTATCTTAAGAATGTTGAATTTGGTTGATAGGGCCAAAGGCTTATCTAGGCTAGGATTCTGCTCCATTAGTAGCCAAAAAGATGCTTAAACTAAGAAAGTATGGAGGCAGGACGTGCAAAAGTGCCTCAGAGCCTTCAGTTCTAATTATTACTAAGTTACATACTTCGGCAAGAGTTCATACAATGCAGTAATAGTATGGTTGTTCAGGTTTTGGTTCAATGTGATGTGTGAAACTAGCTATTTCAATCACTCTGTTATTCAACAAACTGTTAAAAACAAGAGTATTGCTTCATATGATTTTTGAATCAGCTGTCATGTAGTCATCCTGTCTAAACTAGCAGCCACAATACCATAAGTGAGATTGGAAGGTCTTCATATACGTCAATAGTCAAGATAGAAGAGAAAAACAGCAGAAATTCCCTTTTTGTCCTCTCGGATACAATTTTATTAAATTATAACATATTCAGTCCCCTGATTGATTAACTCAGTGGTTCTCAACCTTTTTAATGCCGCGACCCCAACCGGTCGTAAGTCGAGGACTAAACCGGTCGTAAGTTGAGGACTACCCAACCGGTCGTAAGTCGAGGACTAAACCGGTCATAAGTTGAGGACTACCCAACCGGTCGTAAGTCGAGAACTTTCCCTGCCCGGGAGCGCCGCGCATGCGTGGTTCCGCCCCCTGTGCCGGCTGAGGCGTAGCTGGCAAGCGGCAGAGACGGAGCAGGCCGACCACCAGCTGGCCCAGCCCAAGGGAGGTAAGGCACCCGCCGGAAAAGGGGGGAAAAATGGCAGACAAAAAAAATGGCGGACAAAAAAATGGCGGACAGCTTTGCTTGGTGACCCCCGTGAAATGGTCGATCGACCCCAAATGGGGTCCCGACCCACAGGTTGAGAACCACTGGATTAACTGCTTGTCTAACTAGAACATTTTCAGATGAAAATGATCACTTTTCCACTATTTGATGTGAATAACACAATCAAAGGGCTTTCTATAATAAATGAAACACATAAACTTCTTTGGGGTACAGATATTCTTTAGCTTTCTGAATTATCCTGAGCAATAGTTTCTATTCTATCATCTAGAAATCTATGCACCAAAAGCATTTTTATGCATTTATTAACGGTGTCAGAAAATTTTCCTTTAGCATCTATATAAAAATTGAGCTTGAATGTTGCAAAAAGATGATATGCATCCTTATAACTCACCCCAAAGAGTTATTGTTGTGGAGAAAATAAGAAGAGGAAGGAGTATTAGATCTATTTGCCACCTTGTATTGCTTATAA